CCTGCTGAAGGAACCGGCAGGTTTCACTTTGCCGCGTTTCTCGGACGATGAGAAGTCGATGACGTGAGACGCCGGAGCCGACGACGATATCGGCTTTGGCGATAGCGCCACCGCCGTGCCGTCGGGTCTGTACTTCCTGGGCCGTCCACGCTTCTTCTTCATCGGCCCGCCGGAAAGACCCACCATCGCCGCCGTAGGATTCTGCGGCGGATGAGCGGCGGAGATGGGAGGGGGGTTTGAGCTCTCTGACCTCGGGGCTATGCGGAAATCCGACGGCGCGTCGGATCCCACCACCGTGACTCCGCCGCCGCCTCCGGTGGTTGTCTTGACGACTTCTCCGGTAGACTCCATATCTAAAGCCATTATTTTTTTCTTTTTTTTTAGATTTAAAAAACCTTGTGGATTACGTAGATTCAGTTTTCTGTAACCAAAGCTAAAATCATTCAACCCAGAAAATAAAAACTTCAGAAAAACAGACCACAACCAGAACTAGGAGAAGAGAAAGAAGAAAAAAATCAACTCAAAAATAAAAAAAAACGAAATCAAAATAACAGAATTTTTTTTAAAAAAAAATAACAAGGCTTTGGAAGAAAAATATTTCTCAGAACAGAGCTTGGAAATTAGGAAGAAAATGGGAAAATTTTTGGTGAAGAAACTGATGGAAATTAGATTTATTTATGCTGTGTGAATAAGATAGAAAAATATAGAAACAAAATTTTTGAATTTGAAATTGGAAACATTAAAAAATATATTTTCTGTATATATTTAGCTAATTTCCATCCTACTTTTCCCCCACTATTATTTTAATATTGAAGAAATAAAATATTATAAAGAGAAATGTATTTAATAGGAGGTTATAATATCTCTCACCATATATTTTCATTTTAAAATATATAGAAATTCGTGTTTTTTAAGCTGGAATCCTATGGGAGAAATATTTAAATAAAAGAAATAAATAATAAAACATATTGTACAAAATTGAAAGTAGGTATACTAATTTCTTTTCTTTGGATTTTTAAAAAAGACAAGAAAGTTGGCCTTGCATGTAAATATTATTCTTTTTTCTTGCCGTGATTATCATTGTTATTTATATATTATTATAAACTTCCTTTTTTGTATTTTAATGTTTAGAGTAAAGGACAAGTAAAATTAGGATGCTAATATGATGAATAATAAATTACGCTAAATATGATTTTAATTTCGGTAAGAAAATTCGGGCATGACAATAACATGGGACCAGCCAAACTTATAAACCTTCATACATGCATTTTTAAAATATTTTCCCACGTACAAATTAATAAAAATTAATAAATATGCCAAAATAAAATCTCCACTTCAAATGAATATAATCTCAACTTGTCTTTTCTTTTTCTCTCTCCGCCGATGAAAACAAATCGAGCCCGGTATTTCCACCGTAAAATCATTACTAAATATTTTATATTTTCGCATAAAAATGTCTACCGACTATAATTTTGTAAAATATAAAAAATGTAATCAATATATTTTCCCTTGACAAGCACATAAATATTATGAATATTAAATTTGATGACAATAAAATCTAGATTGTATTTTTTTTTTAAACTTTGCAACATGTATCCCAATCCTCAAAATCTTCAGAATCTGTCGGAGGTTGCGGAATGTTTCCGTCAACAAAGCCAAACTTCTTCCGGGATTTGAGCGCTTGTCGGATGTTGATTGCCCACTCATCGTAATTGTCGCCACGCAATAAGGGTTGAGACAGAATCAGACCCGGGTTATCGCTCGGCGTAAGATCATACGGCGAGATCGTGCGACGCGGAATCGGAGCATTGTCGCGAGCATTCATCGGGGGAGTCGAGGTCGAAGGGTTCGTCGGTTCGGGGTTCGAAGTCGTGTGTGGTTCTGTTTCGGTGGACATTGAGACGTCGGAGATTGAAAACTAGAATTGTGGTGGTTGAAGCTCTGATACCATGTCACGTACCAAGCTCAAGAATGTGAAAATATGCGGCTCTCATTAACAGAGCACCTTGTGCCCAATATATACACGAAGCAATTGGTTTTAACCTAACCTATAAAACAGGAAACAGAAGATATATATAACAACTTCCCATACTTGTGGGATACGTAGTAATCTATCCCAATACAACATCACTACTTTTGTTGTAGAGTGAAAACCAGTGAGATCTAAGGGGCCAATCAATGGTTCCGAAAATAATATTACACGGATTATGAATTTAATCCGTAAGGTATTTCCTCTAAACAATGAAATCTTTTCTTGTATTTAATCATGTATCAGTTAATCTCATGTTATTGATATAAATCCATTATTTTGCATGTTATTATATTTGTATATTACAATTTTTTTTAACCAAAGGTTCGATCTACTTTTTGAAAATTAGCAAAATAATTTAAGTTGCAGAAAATGGAAGTAATCATTATCATAAAATTATTTAAATACAATTAATTTCGGGACCACAAAGCATTGATCCGGAAATGAAAGCTCCTAATTTGCCCCAAAAATATATAAATTTTAATTAAATAAATCGTTGTTTAGATAAGAACGAACCATTTATTAAATATTTTGTTAATTATCTAATTTAATTTCGGACATTAAAATAATTTATTTTGAAATAATTTAATTATGGTGATATGCTCGGTGTGAATTTCCTCACAACTTTATTTTGTTTCTCTTATTTTTTAAATTTTCACTGTTTTGGGCATTTATATATGAAAAGAATGCACTAGAATATGGAATTCACATGAATTTTATATTATTTTAATTTCTCATTTATAATTGTGGTCGGTATTCTGACCTAACTTTTTCCCGATACAGCTCATGGGAAAACATAAATCTGTATAAAAAAAAGGGATATATTAATTACGGACAAGCCATATTTTCATAAATATATATAGGTATTAATTTAATCTTTATTTATATTTATAAATACCACTAGATTTAAATTTTAAATGACAAAATGTGATCTTGGGGGAAGAAAGAAAATAGCCATGTGCTACTTTCTTCTCCAATCAGCATATTATTTTTTTATACAAAAATGATATATAATCTATTTATTTGTTATTTCACAGGTTTTCGGGGTTAAAATTAACAAAATTTGAAAGTTAATTAATATTAGTTGTTAATTTGGTTTATTATGTGGTTATCAAATCACGATTATATTTTATTCGTTGAACCAAATCTGCATTTTCATAGTAATTTTACTAGGAAATAATTAAATGTGAATAAATAAAAAATTAGAAATGGGTTCTTTTAGTTGAGACCGATAAGAATAAAAATAGCATCTCTATTTTTTTTTATTTGAGTATAATAATTTTTATTCTATTTGAGTCATTGAATTTAAAATATTTAGACTAATATATTTGAATACGACGTGTTATATATTAAATTTTATTTATTATTTAATGTTTTAAAATATATTTGTTTCTCAAATATAAAATTTATTTAAGAAAAAAAAAACAACTAGCAAAATAAAAGATGGGTGCAGATATTGCGTGGTCTTTTGTGTACAACTTTCATTGGTTAACTTAATTAAGACTGCTTAAAAAATCTTATCATGACAATTTGACAGTATTTGCAATACTCCATCATGTGAACCTTTTAATAAGATTAGAAAATTCTTGGCGTGCCTTCATATTAAAATATAAAATTTCATGTAATTTCAAATTACAAAAAGTGAATAATTTCTTTATTATAAACTTACAATAATATGGTGTTTTCCTGCAAATTAGGTTATCCAATAGTCACCCAATTTTTTCTATCATCAACATATATATGTATGTTTTTCCCATATGTTTTTATTTTTCTCCGAATTTGAAATCAGTAGTAATGATTGTGAGGATTTTATATATATACCGTATATATATATCACACCCAAATATAATATATACATTTGCGGATAGAGATGGGCCCAGCTATTACATTTGGGGCCTGGGAAAGCCCATGATACTACATGGGACTTTAATGTGACCGTTGCGTGCCAAAAAAATACATTAATAATGTGTGACTTGCCCTATCCGAATCCTCGTGCTTTCTCGTCAAGGGTGAAGCCAGGATAAAAGGGGGCTGACGCAAGGGGAGAAAAAAATGGCGGCTCACTCTCTCTGCAAGTTTTCTTCTGCGAATCCGATGATCTTTCAAATGAATTCCATCTCTATACAAAATCAATCATCTTCTATGTGCTGCTTCCCTTCAAGAAACCCACCGAAAGCCTTGACGAATCCATGGTTGGGCGTCGATTCTTCCCTCTCTCTCAGCTCCTCAATCACCGCATTGACAGTCCATTCGCGCTCGCGCCGCCGTATTTCCTCGGCTGTTGTGTCCAGCTTGCCTACCGTGTAAATTTCCCGACTTCATTTGATTTTGATAAGTTTTGGGTTCCATGGTCTTCTCGGCTAAATTTCAATTTAGGGTTTTTGGGGTTTCTCCAGGAAGCCGGATAGCGTGGGTTCTGATGCAAAAGTGCCAAAGTAAGCGTTTTTCGATTAATTTGTAGGATTGAAGTTCTTGCTCTTGGTTTGAAGTTTCTGGGTGTTTTTTTAGGGCTTTAAAATTGCTGTGTTTTGTTTTAATTGATGCCCAATTTAGATGGTCGTGGAGAGCGATTAAGGCATTTGCCATGGCAGAGCTCGAGGCCAGGAAGCTCAGGTACCCAACTACTGGGACTGAAGCTCTTCTTATGGGGATTTTGGTTGAAGGTACTTTATTTTCGGCAAACTCTGATATTATACTTGAAAAAAATCCAGTCCAGTTAGATCATGTAATGTGTGTGTCATATCTAAATGGTTGGATCTCATCATTGACAAACGTACAATATTGTATTTCTTCCTACTATTGTGTCTGAAATTGAATTGACTTAAGCCACATCATGTCTAGATGATACGGTTATGATATCTTTTGGAACCTTGAAATCCTGGTTTAGCAGCCATTGAGAACCTTTAAATTTGGAGTTACCTCAATGATTAGAATATCACTTTAAAAATTACTGGAATTTTATGTGTTTTCCTCCAGATAATGGTCTATAATTCTGCCATAGCAAAATGAAGATTATGCATATCACTGGTGGAAAACGGAGACGATATGCCTTTTTCCAAATTTCCGCGATAATAGTGTGTTCTAGTGCTTTTAAAAGTAGAATTAGTTTTCTGCCATGAAAGTATGAGTTAAAATTCAGCAGTATCAGATTGTAAACGTGAGCTTGGAGCTATAATTTACTATGTTCCATGCAGTGGGGTTGGGCTTAAATTTTTGTGTGATAAAGCAACCATAGCGTATGTTAATTGCTCTCATCATCTGTTGAATGATCTGAATGTGGATCCTGAACTGAAGAACATCTTAAAACAATGGCTGGTTACGAGAATGCATGCTTGTTTTCATGCTATAAGTACAGACTACCAGATCTCATGCTCGAGCATCATGTGTTTGTGTCTGGGTGATAAGAAAGTATGTTCCGTTTTATATTGTGTCCAAGGATATCGCTGAGGATCTTCTAGTTGACTTGATACTGGGCTGATATAGTTTAATCTCATGGACAGGGACTAGTTTTACTTCAAAGTATTTGCGGGCCAACGGTATTATGCTTCTTAATGTGCGTGAAGAAACAGTCAAGTTACTAGGGAAGTCTGACAGGTATTGCTTCAGCCCTGAGCATCCTCCATTAACTGAAGATGCTCAAAGAACACTTGACTGGGCTGTCAATCAAAAGATAAAATCAGGTGCATTTTCATCTCAATCTTTTTCTGTTATAACCGAGTCTTATCTACTTCGAACTGAAGCTAGTGGTGGTAAATATTTTTTTGAGAGTCTCACTTTAAGGCTTGATTAAGTGATGAAGCTTATATTATTCCAGATGTTGCTTAGTTGACAGTTAGCTCACTGAGAAGCTTTGGCTTTCTACATCGATTCTTGCCTTCAAATGGCATAGTAGTACACTCGCTATTTTATGACTATCCCAATTTCCTTTCATATATGTATTGAACTCTGGCATATATGCATGTATGTTGATACGGAAATTCTTGAGATGCATGCTTGAATTTAAGACTAAATCTTAAGCATCCTTGTTTTGGTGCCCTTTGTTGCAGGCGGTAACGGGGAGATTACAACTACGCACATACTGCTTGGGATCTGGTCTGAAGCTGAATCGCCAGGTCACAAGATATTGGCAAATCTTGGGTTCAATGATGAAAAATCTAAAGAGCTAGAATCCTTTATTTCTGAACCTGGATATCTAGATGAATAGGAGGACTGCCTTCCTTGACACTTATCTTCACCATTGATGCTATTTTTATTTTCAAATGAAAATCCTCAATTCATAAATGCGGGTGTGATTTTCTTATGCTTACATCATGATTGATTCTTAAATTTGTTAAATGCAAGATATCAAGCTATTTCCTTTCTTTGTTCCCTTTTTTCATTTATTAAGGGTAGCTATCATTTCTTTGTTGTGGTGTCTCCTTCTCCATTCTAACCCTTTGCATGACACTTTACCTCGGCGTAAACTGATTTTTCCAAGATATGATAAGGTTTGCGGTGCAACCTTTTGTTATTGCCTCGAAGATTTTTGTGCATACAGGTACATAGAAAATTTTCATTAATGCTGGGGCAATGGAAGTTGTGTGTGTTATCAAGTTAATATCATATATTTGAAACTCATCTCCATCTTGAGAAAAACCACCATGTTCTTGAATCCTAAGCTTTTCCCGGTTATCCTGCCGGTTTTGATTTACGTTAATTTTCTTCCCTCAGGCTCTAATTTGGTTTAGAAGAGAAGTGATTTCTCGAGGTAATGCTATTATTACATATCTATGAAGTTCAAAGGCTGTTGTTTTCTAGCTTTCAAGATTTCAATAAACTAAGATTTTCACTTTCTAGGTTTATCTTGTATCTGCCGGTACCGGGCTTTGTGATGTTTCCTCTTCCTCTGTATTGCAGGTAAGGATCTGTGCCTTTGCAGCTTCTTTCTTCCAATCTATCCTTGCAGCAAATACCAACAATATTGCAAGACAGACCGAAATTCCAACCAAGAAACCAAACAAGAAACCTCCAAGCCCTTTTTTAGCTTTGAATGCCAAAAATGCTCCTAAAGGCAACGCCAAGAGATAAAACCCACCAAGATTAGCATACATTCCAAGCGATGGTCTTGCTGTTCCACGCACAATCTCTCCACAAACCACTAAAGGGAAGTTCACAACTTCAATCACTGCCATTATCAGCATCATCTTCTTCACTCCATTCAAGATCTCCGAGTTATGGCTATACAAAGATCCCCAAACACCTCTAGCTCCTATCATAACAAAAGCTCCAATGCAGCCAGAGAGCACACCCATTGCTAGTGAAGTATATGCTGCTCTATAAGCGGCCTTTGGATGATTTGCCCCGAGCTCGTTGGCCACACGGGTTGAAGCACATGTGCCGAGGGAGAGCATTATGGCATACAGCAGGTAATCGAAGTTTAGGACAATGACTAAGACTGACACGGCTTGAACTGGGTTTGGCAGCCTACCGGTTAGCATGACCAAGATTTCATAACACCACCACTCAAGGCAGACGGTGAGACAACATGGTCCACAGAGCTTGATTAGCTTGAACCAGTCTTGGGCACTTTGGTCCCACCACCCTCCTTCCTTCGATCTGGTCTCTTCAGAGTGCTCAAACACCAAGACATATCCTGTTAGAAGAATCACCACTACAAGATCGGTTATCCAGACAGCCATTGCAACTCCTTCAATTCCCTTTGCTCTGGAAAGCAACACGTTAACGGGCACATGAAGGATGGTTCCTGCTGCTGTGCTGAACATTATAGGGAGCGTTATGCCTTGTGCGCTTAGGTAGGCTTTAAGGGGGCAAAGCACTGATAGGACTGGTAGATCAGGAATGAGATAGAGAAGATACTTCTTTGCAGTGAAAGAAATATCTTCTCGTTGGCCAAAACAGATGAGAATTTTATGAACGTTGAGCCATAAGGAAGAAATTGGGACTGACACCAGTAGCAACAAGAACATTGCCATGAGAAGGGTTTTGTGGAGAAGCCTAAAGTTCTTTGCTCCAAAAGCCTGGCCACATATCGGCTCCATTGCAGCAGAAAGACCGTACAAAACAGAGAAGCCAGAGACATTTGCAAAGGTAAATCCTAATGAACTCCCGGCAAGTTCTAGCTCGCCTTGTCTTCCAAGAAACACGGTTGTCGTTGTTAGCTTGCCAAACCATATCAGGTTCATAACTATCAACGGTAAAACGATTCTCCTTTGTATCTTTAGCTCAAAGAGAATGTTCTGCATGAAGGACTTTGGACATTCTGGGTAGACTTCCCGGTCTAAAGGCGGCGAGTTCAAGGTTTCATTCACCGGGTCCCTCCTTTTCTCTGGTTTTTCATGTCCTGGTGATGCCACCGAGGTTTCAGCAACTGGAGGTTGTGACATTTTTGTCTGTTGATGACGAGAAAACTCTGCAATATGGGAGAAATGGTGACTACAGACAGGTTGAGAAACCTTGTGTTATGGTTGATTGTCTCATGGACATCATTGGTTCTTCTGCTGGTTAGGATGAGGTTTTTGGCTCTAGAAGAAATGGAGAATTAGGTGGTGAGATGATGAGATTTGATGGAAGGAGGAGGATGAGGTTTATAAGCAAAGTGATTAGTGCGTGTTTTCCGTGAGTTAGTGAGTGGTTTGTTTTGTGTGAAGGAGTTTGCATAGGCTACTTTTGTAACGTCAAGTAGTGGCAAAACTGCTTTATGGTGGTCTTCTTAGTGCATTGGTGATATTGAATGCATTACTCCATTGCCATATATAAAGCTATACACGCATGTATACATACATGCATATATAAATATGTGTCTATACTTCTTTGCATCAATACTTCCGGAATGTGAAAAAAACAACTAGAGTTCGGTGTGTATATATATATATAAATATTGTGTGCGCTTTCTAGACCTAGAAGGATATTTTATGAAATATCAAGTCTATATCTAAGTAAATTCATGGTGGAGGAGGAATATGTCTGTATATATTAATATATATATATATATATATATATGTGTGTGTGTGTGCGTCTATCATTGTGTTTGATAGGTTTCAATTTTCAGGAATATTGAATGTTTTTTTAATTTATCTCTTAACATTTTTTATTTGTTTAATGTTATATATCCCGTGGATTGATTGGTGATTTAGTCATTTAGTGAGTGGATGATACGATAGGGCTGGGCATTTCAACCCGTTATCCGTGGGTAAACGGATACCCGGTCTCGTGGGTACCCGAAAAACGGGTACTCGACATCTAACCAAGACGAAAACGAATATTAAAAACTAGAATACCCGTCATACGGGTACGAGTTCGAGTTTTATATATTGAAATAACAGGTATCCGTGGGTACCCGCATATATATTAAAATTACAAAATTAACCTTATATTTTTAATATAATTTCTAAAATACTTAGGTTATTTTTACTTTCCTTTAGGATTATATATTGGATTTTCAAGTTTTGATAGATTCAACTTCAAATTATTGTGTATATTTTAAAATATTTCTAGGATTCTATGTATATTATTATATGTTAAGAATTTTTAAACCTAAAAATATATTTTTGGAATAAAATATGTATATTTTTATTGATTATTTGGTTTAATTTTATATTGTTTAATATTTTTTATACGGGTACGGGTATTCGTGGGTACCTGTCTTTTAGTTATGGGTACCCGTTGGACGGGTACCCGGATATTATGAGATAGAGACAGAGATAGCATTTCTCTGAAACCCGCGAAGACGAAAACGAAGACGTGTATTTCCAAAAACGCGGATATCCGACCCGTGTCCACCCCTATGATACGACTCCTAGAGTAGATAAGAACAACATGATTAGCAGAAAAAAAAATTAACAAAAAAACTTTAATATAAACAAATATAAAAGAAGAAAGGGAATTAAAAGTTGGGAGCAATAATTGATTGGGTCCAATTTCTCCTTTTAATGTTCAATTATTGCTTTTGAAAATAAATATTAAGATTTCTTGATATATATATATATATATATATATATAAAAGAAAAAATGACACTTTAAAACATTAAATATTAACTAAAAATGTATAAGAAAAATAAATGATTGGATATCAAAAGAGAAAATGAAAATAAAAAAGCTTTATCTTTTTATACCCTTTCTTAAAGTAAATAATACTTAGAGTTTTTTATGGTAAAAAATATTTGAAAATTTAAAATATTATCATTGTGTATTGTCTGCTTCTATTTTTTTAAACTTTCTTTTGTTTTTCCTCAAAAGAAATTATGGATAGCTACGCTTTCGGTAATTGTATTTTTGTTCCCTGTATATATATGTATATTATTAGGGATAATTTCATTTAAAACTCTGTACTTTTCTCTCGTTTCAATTTAAACCCTATACTTTTTTTTTATCCAAAAAAATATTGTACTTTTAAAAATTGTCAATTAAAACTCTATACTTTTAAAAATTGGCAAATAAAACCCTGAACGAAAAACAATATTATTTAATGCTGACATGGCATCCTAGTCATCTGCCACATCATCAATCCATAATATTTAATAATATTAATTAATAAAAAATAAAAATAAAATAATAAAAATAAAAATAAAATTTTAAAAATTATATATATTCATAAAAATTATACACATATATAAACATGTTTATAAAAATTTTAAAATTATATACATATATAAATATATTTATATATACATATATACATATATATACATATGATACATATATATCTATATATGTGTATAATTATTATATGTTTTATATGTATGTGTTATATATGTATTTTTCCCTAAAAAA